TAAATACAAAAACGGACAATCAGCTCTTGTCTGCAGATTATTTCACAGTGTGCAGTGAGATGTGAAGCTAGAGGAACGCTCTTCATTGTATTAGGTGGAGGCTCCAGCCTGTCTCTTCCTTCTATTTTGCTGCTGATTGACTCACTGCAACCCAAAATGTGAGATATGCCTTATCCACAGATTCCTTCTTGGTAGGAGTCAAAGCACATCACTTTTTTCGACAAGTTCATCTCCCCTAAAGATGTGCAGGCTTGGGGGGATAGAAAAGCCTGGAGGGTTCTGTCCTTCCCTAACCCCCCCCCCCCGTTTTTCTGCTGGGGGAAAAACCCAGGAAATTTTGGGGAACACCACAGAATCCTATAACTTAGATTCTTTTGGATTGACTGAAATGTATTTTGAGGTAAGGTTAACCTCAAAATTAGTAATATGAAAATTTTTTTGTATTGTAATCTAGCTAATGACAACCAAGGAACCAATGATGACTCATAGGGGGAATATTTCCCCTGTATTCCCCCTTCTCCCCTAGCTTTTTCTGTTTTATTACTTCCCACTCATTAGAAGTACCCCCAGACTCTCACCTTTTCCTGCCATCTACTTTTAGTTGTCCCCCTCTTAAAACTTTTCCTCCCCTTGCAGTCTCTCCCTTTTCTTCTTTCTCATTCACCTACCTTTTTCTGCTCCCCCACTTCAGCATTACTTCCCTTCCCTTTTCCCTGCTTCCTTATTTTAAACCATTTTTCAGTCTGCCTCTCTTCCCACACACACACACACACACACACACACACACACTAACTAGGAACATGAAAACAGTTGCCCAGCACCCCTCCAAAATGGCCACCAAGATCTCACCATGTAGTGTTGCTACATCTCAGCAGCATTCTGGCTAAGATGCAGACTTTACTTCTATGATTGGGGGGGGGGGTAAACCCTTCCAAGGTTTTTTTACCCCTGAAAACTGGGATTTCCCCAGGTTTGCACAAAAGTTTCCCTTGTCTGGCCCTAGTCCCAAACTTATACATGTTTTGAACTGTTGTGTACACGGACCGCCACTAGGGGTCCACGGCAAGACAGGAGCTTGGCTCCCCTGGACAATGGGAACATAGGATCCTAGTTCCCCCCAGCTCCAACCTATGGCCACTTTGGCGGGAGATTCAAACCCTCCAATGGACTAGGGCTGTGCTGGGTGGGTGTGTATATAGTTGGCCTTGCAGGGCCATTTTAGTTAGTCTTAAGTACAATAAACGTGTGCAAGAGCATGTCGTCGTCCGAGTCCTCCATGTGGCGAACCCAGTACTTTTCATGAACCACACTGTACAGTCTGGTTCAGAATTAGACATATATTTAATTGTTATTAGGGAGGAGAAAGCTGGGGGGAGCAAAAAAAGCCCCCTCATGCTTTTCCAAGGAACTTTTTTCATTTAAAAATACTAGAACATTTGGGGGAGCACTGGCCAAAAAGAAAACTTCTGAAATAGGAGAACTGCTTTTCAAGACAAGGTTTTACTCATTCAAAGTATGCAGTGTGAAAATTTTTATGTAAGACCCTAAAAAATGAAGTAAATCCTTGCATACTGTAAAAACCATATTTTCAAGGATATGATTGTTTAAATTGGATTGTTACAATTAATATGCTATATAGTATTCGATGATACAGGATTGAAGACTCTAGTGTTTTCTAAGTTATAAAGGTTAATTCAATATCTAAATATACTGATAGACCTATTGTGAATGTATGAGACTGTTTCTCATCAGGTTATATACTTTCTTTTGTTTACATCAAGTATGTTTTCTAATTTCAACATGTACTTTTCCTATGTCTCTGATGACACAAATTAGGATACGTGAACTAAGGTAACATTGAGTGCAGTAATGTGAAGCAGCCTTTCAAGCACTGTGTACTGCTACCCTCTTGAACATACACACACATCTCAGAGTCATAACAGGCTAACCCTAATAACAGATTTTTGTGTGTGTGCATTCGCTCAGACTAAGGTATTATTTAATAAGACATCAATACAAAACTTTTTAAAAAATTGTTATTGTTTGTAAAATTAAGCCTTCATTTTAACAAAGCACCAGAAATTAGCTATAAAAATTATGGTATAGCTCCAAGAGCCTGCCAAGCAAGCTCCAAAGATATATTCTTGTCAGGCTAAATCTCATGCACTTATTTTATCTTTAGAAAGCACATTAAGGGAACATGAAAGCACTCTTGAACAATGAAAAAAGATTAGCTAGAGATGTGGTATTTCTCACCTCATGATCAGAGGACCAGAAAGGGCACACAAAGAGACTAGTTGGAGGCTGGTGAGTTCGTTTCCTCCCCCCCTTTTAGTTCTGCCCCCTCCCCCAAAGTTGTCCATCAACCATCAGACCACCAGAATATCAGTCTTTTCTCTTCTTCATCTTTTCCTAGCTCATCTTTATCCCTTCCTTTATACAACTTTCCCCTCATGTGCACTCACCCATTCCCACACACACCCCTCCACCAACCCTGAGCTTTTACAAATCTATCTCTTTTCTCTCACTGTCTCATTAAGGCTCACATCTCTGTTCCTTGGGGCACTATACATACATATAGATGTGGGTTTTATTAAACCAACTGAGCACAAAACTTATGATATGCCTAGATAATGTAAAGTATTACTTTCTTTGAGACAGGTTTTTTAAAGAACTGTTTCTAGTATGATTTTTGTTTTTGTCCTTGCCCTTTAGTCGTTTAATAACAACCAAACTTGTCTACTTAAAAAGGTCTTTCTTATTGCATAAAATATTGCAACAACCCAAGAGTTGGATGGGTTAGAGTAAATGTATATCTGCAATTTCACTTGTACAAAATTAAGACAGGTATACTTTCAAATATTACATATGCTAGATCAAGGGCTCAGAAACTTTTATAATTAAAGAGCCAAACTAAGTCAAAATTCAGAGTGACTGATCAAAGAGACACTATAAAAAAGCCCACTCACATAACTTAACATTTCCTATAATTATGTTGATTAATAATCCATATAGTTTCCACAGCCAAAAAATGGTTGTTTACAAGTCTTATTAGGAGGGGGCACAGGCAGTCTCATGATGATAAATATATTACAGGGACATCATGTATGATTGTTCTAGTGCACTAGCATAAACATACATGCTGGCTTGATCTTGGATTAATGCAACTTTCTGTAAAGCATTTCTAAGAGGCCCGTTAGACCAATAAAAGTATCTGCCTGTGATTCACATACTGCTTATTTTACCATCACATCTATCCACCCAATATACCTTAACTTAAAACGCTTCTAACCCATAGAACCCAGCTGATGGAATCATGTTCTTTTGCCCCTTTCTGCAGCTGCTACAGAGTGGCAGGAGTCAGCTGGGCTGTGGGAGTAGTGTACTGCTATAATTTTTTTTTTCTTTTCGATTTCTAGGCCACTCTCCCCGTGAACGGGCTCAGGGTGGCTAACATCAGGGCATGCATGCCAGTACATAAAAGCAAGATAAAACAATTAGTTACCAAATGTACAAAATAAAGTGCTCCAAGATGATCCGAGGTAACAATCTTCCATTTAGTACATGGTATCAGGAGGATACTTAAACAGATCTCAGTTCAGTGGTCTCCATGCGACATAGTGCAGCAGTTTGTCGTCAGGCCATTCCAATACCCCGCTGTTGCCAAACTCGTTGGTGGTGGTAGTGGTGGTGGCGGCGGCTCCTAATCGAAAGCCTGGCAGAAGAGCTCCGTCTTACAGGCCCTCTGGAACTGTGCAAGGTCCTACAGGGCCCTGATCTCTTCTGGGAGCTCATTCCACCAGGTAGGAACCCCCACCGAAAAGGCCTTTGCCCTAGTAACAGCAAGCCTGGCCTCTTTGGGGCCCGGAGTCACCAGTAGATGTTAGGTCCCCGACTGTAGTGCCCTTGGGGGTATATATGGGGAAAGGCGGTCCCTCAGGTATGTCAGACCCTGGCCGTATAGGGCTTTAAAGGTAAGAACCAGCACTTTGAAGCGAATCCAGTACGCTATTGGCAGCCAGTGCAGCGCTTTCAGCACAGGACGAATGTGCTCCCATTTAGGGAGGCACATCAGGAGCCTGGCTGCAGCATTCTGCACTAGCTGCAGTTTCCAGATTTGCAACAAAGGTAGCCCCACGTAGAGAGCGTTACAGTAGTCTAGCCTCGAGGTAACCGTTGCGTGGATCACTGTGGCCAGGTCATCATGGTCGAGGAAAGGAACCAACTGCCGAGCCAGCCTAAGGTGGTAGAAGGTCGACCTGGCAGTGGCTGCCACCTGGGCCTCCATAGTTACAGAGGAGTCCAGGAGCACTCCCAAGCTCTTAACCTCCGACGCTGGCACCAAAGGCACCCCATCGAAGATCGAGAGAGGGATCCCCAACCCCGAACCAACGCGACTTCTATCTAAGTACTACAGTTATGTATTACGAAACAATTAGCCATGTACTTAACTCTCTCAACAATAACCAATGAGACTTAAAACGGCCCAACTCTGATTTTCCCATTGTGTTTATTTAGGGAATAAACCCTTTGAGAGTCACAAAAATAAATTTAACTGTCAAGTGTGGAACCCAGAAACAATATGCTTCGAACATATTTTATACTTGGAGCAGCAAACGCTGCACATTTCTGTTTCAGCTGAAAAGCTTTATTCAAACTAATTTTGGCAACAGCCATTAGAAAACAATTCAGATACAGTATTTGCTCTCCAACACCCCCCCCAAATGATTAAAATTTATCTGCCAAATATGCTTCAGAGAAAGATACAATAAGAAGAATCTAAAATATTTCATAATTATTACACATTCCAAATAAGAATACGATAGTGAACTAAAGTTACTTTAAATAAAGTAAATGTATCAGATTTTTAAAACCTTTTTCCAAAGATGGCCAGTCGCTCACAATGAGAAATAGATGAAAAATTAAAGTTCATTTTTAAAAGCACTAAAATGTCTTCTAGAAAATACTCAAATATCACAGCAAGAAAAACTGCAGAGTACCTGAACAGTGGAGCTAATCTCAGATGCAAAACCTCCTGTAAGAGGGGCTTCATGGCTGATTAGTAATCGTCCAGTCTTTGCCACAGACTGAAAAGGAAAAAAGACACCCGTTCACACATATACACTTTGCAAGTAATAGAACAAAGTTTGAATCCAGTGGCACTTTTAAGCACACTTCCTCAGATACTTTGCAAGTAAACTATTGACTTTCTACATTCAAAAAGGTGAAGTATTTTTAAAACCAAATTCTTGTTTTCCACACAGAAGCATCCAAAATTTGTCAAGTAACAGACTTTAGAACACACGTGATTGTTACAAGAATTTAAAGGAACATAGCCTAAAGCTTTGTCTGTCTAATGTATTGCTCACATAATTTTAAAAGGGCATGAATACATTATTCATCCAGACTTCCTAAATGATTTTTTTAAAAGATTGGTGCTCCCACAGTTAACTGAATGTTAACACTTGACTAGTCAATAAGCACAATGACCCCTCTTTACAGCCGAGTGGTTCATCCAATAGGTTTCTCTTATGATTTGGTTCCTTAAAATGTAGCACTGTAGCTCTTTATTTCTTGACTAGTCGCAAGGCCCATTGCAGAAAGAGATGAAACGAGCTCTAGAGAGAGGCTGCTGGAGCCCCCCCCCTCCACGCCCTGGCGAAGGAGAGCACCGCGGCTCCGCGGGACGCACCTACCAGGCGCTGGAGTGGTGGCGAGGGAGTCCTGGCAGGGCCCGGGGCCAAAGGCCCTGACCCGTTCCTGGCCGTGGAAGACAAGCAAGCTGCCATCGCTACCTCTTCGCCGCCACGGCTCCCTGCTGGTGGAGCAGCGGCGAGTAATGGAGTCCTTCTTGGGCCTGTGCCTGAGCAAGCCGGCGCTGCCTCCCATTGGCCGTGGTGCCGCCATGATCCTTTGTGGGGCCCGCAGGCAAAGCAAGGCTGCGGCGCCGCTGGCGCCTCCTGGCCACTTCAGCTCGCCACCTCCCAGCGACTGCCCTACCTGGTGGCAGAGCAGTGATGAGTGAGGGAGTCCTTCTCAGGGCTGCCACCCAAGCAAGGCGGCGCTGGCTACAGTTGGGACCGGCACCGCCATGCCCCTCTCTGGTGCCCGCAGGCCGAACATGACAGCACCATTCTTGGGTTCAGCCTCCAGACCCTCTGCCCGCCAGAGCGTCCTGCCCATCCATCGGCCCTCAGCACACTGCGGCCAAGAGGCTGGGCGGCGCTTCTGTGGGTGGGATGAAGGGCGGAACGAAGGCAACACAGCCAGTGGCCAGGGACCCCTTTCTGACTGGCAGTTGAGGGACCCAAAGGCTGTGGGGGCGTGTGGAGCGTTGAGGCAAGAGGGACACAAAAACTCTTTTATATATAAGGAGAGATGGTAACAGCAAGCTACAACTTTCATAAAACTATCATAGTTGTTTGTAAATAACTGATTCATAATGATTTACATGCTTTGCTTATCAATCTACTTTTAATACATTTGTCTATGAAGTCCACAGCACTATTACATTCCACAAGAGTACTCATAGGGACATATGGTTGTAAAATAATTTCATCTCTTTAAAACCAACTTGGAAGTTGAAGACCTGAGTGGAAATACCTTGCTCCAGACTCTGGTACTCTGCCCTCCAGGCCTCCTTTGGGGAATGGATGCCAAGTATCCCTGATGGAGATGTTTGATGTAAAGAGCACTAGGTGCCAGACAGTGGGCAGCAGCAGGCAGGGAAGAAGGTCAGTAACCTCACTGATGAGATGGTTGCTCTAGACAGGCAAGCCTTTTCTGTTATTGAGGATATCAGGTTCCACAAGCTGCTCCAAGATGCCTATCCCCTGTGTTGCTGACTGTTGTATACCAAGGCTGGCTCATAAAATTGCCCTTGCACTAGGCACCCCATGCCCATAGGAGCACATCTGTGCTCAGTACTGTTTCTGGTGCTTGCTGTATGAAGAGGGGAGTTTCTCGTCAAATTGATGTGGCTCACACACCACCCAAGACACCAGCCTACAATGAGGTAGGCACCCAACTGTCAACTGATGTTACTGCTGTGGTAGAACACTGCAGCTGTAGATGGTACATATAGGCAGTCTGGTAAAGGGTGTTAACAGCTGAGGCAGATACCATAAAACCTAGAAGCCTCTGGACTATAAAAAGCAGACTGGATCTGAAGCCTCATTTCAATTTTGACAAGAGACAGGAGGGTACTAGATCTCTTACAGAAGAAAAGGCTTGCCTACCAGAGAATCTAGAACAGCCCCAGTGAACTGAAGGTAGGCTGAAGCTTTCAAGTAAAGTGCTCAAAGACATGTCTAACAACCAGTAGTCTATGTACAAATAAACCTGAACTTCTTGTCTGTGGAAATGTGTAGTCATATGTTTGGTAAAGACTATGGGTGCTTTCAAAAGTCTGACTGGAAGGACCTTGCATGGGAAACGTTGGCTTCTGATGGCATTGTTGTTGTTCAGTCGCACAGTCGAGTCCGACTCTTCGCGACCCCATGGACCAGATCACGCCAGGCCCTCCTGTCTTCCGCCGTCTTCTGAAGTTGGCTCAATTTCATGTCCGTTGCATCGATGACACTGTCTAACCATCTCATCCTTTGCCGTCCCCGTCTTCTTTGACCTTCAATCTTTCCCAGCATCAGGGTCTTCTCCAGTAAGTGCTCCCTTCTCATTTGGTGGCCAAAGTATTTGAGCTTCAGTTTCATTATCTGGCCTTCCAGGGAACAGTCAGGGTTGATTTCTTTTAGGATTGACTGATTTGATCTTTTTGCAGTCCAAGGGACTCTCAAGAGTCTTCTCCAGCACCATAGTTCAAAATAATCTATTCTTCGGCGCTCAGCCTTCCTTACAGTCCAACTCTCGCAGCCATACATGACTACTGGGAATACCATTGCTTTGACATACCATTGCTCTGATGGCATAAGAGCATGTAACTGTGCTGAAGCTGACTAGCTAAAAATATGCATCCTTGAGCATTACTGATCTTTTGGACAAGAGTGGCAGAGTAGCGGATAGAGATTTTATTCACAGTAGTCTGAGGGCTATGAAAACAGTCATATCTCATAGGTCGAGAATTGGCCAAAAGAAAAGTAGCAAGAGAATGGGTTACTTTTTCTATGAGATCTTTTAATGTCAATTTTTTAATTTCCTTCATAATAACCACCACAGAGGTGCCAATTTTGAACTCTGAGATGTCTGGAAGAGTCACAAAATCCTACTCTGATAATCGTAAGGGCCAAATAATCTTGTGTAATGAGGTCCAACTGATGAACATGTTTCCTGAGGACAAGAGCATATGGCTGAGACACCATGCTGGAGTCAAAGTCTGCTTTGAACCTGAGGAAGTGTCAGACTCCTGGGCAAGTTACTCTCAACCACACTGTCTTTGGCAGTGAAAGGCTTTATTGAGATATAAACAATTTCCAGGCCTTAACACTACTGTGTCAGTTCTAAAGATTTTGGTGGGTGCATACATAGATATAGATAGTTCAAATGTAACCCCTGCTGTGGCCCACTCATATGTCACATCACCCAGCCTGGCCCCAGTGTCTCTACCCCCCTTCTCATGGGAAATATATGATCCCATTATCTGCCACACAAGCTGGCACTAGAAGCTTGTCTTGGGGCCTTATAAGTAGGTATCTGATGAATTCTTTTTTTAAAAAAACAGCTTCCATAACTATAGAATTTGGTAGCAGGTATAAAAGAGTGATATGTAATTGTCTCACTAAACTGTACTTTCCTTCAAGACATCAAACTGTGAGAGGGACTGCAGAAGGGTTCTCCCAGACATCCCTGTTCACTCGTAACAAATCCAGAAGCACTGACCAAGCTACAGAAGTGTGTGAGTCTGAACCAACTAATCAACATCGATCTCCATCAAGAAAGCAAATATTAACACTCATGTACATGCAAAACTAAAGATTAGACACTCATTTTGGAATAAATTCAGATTTCGTTCACTGTACAATAGTCTGGGAAGGAGAATTAAAAAATCAGTTTACCTTAAGCTAATAGAGGCCTCTAGTGGTATTCAATGTGTACTGATGTGTGAAATGTGACGGGGGAACTATCATAATAGTGAAGGGAAAAAAGAACTATACTAATCACATGTTTTAAAAAATCAGATTAACCAAACATGAATCCTGTTCTTGGGTTTGATGTTGAAATCAGTGTACTTAATCCTTACATAACCCTTTACTGGATTGTGGCCTTAATAATTTCCCTATATAAACTGCAATTCTAGAAATGAAGAGATTCAAGTAGGATATTTCTTAATTTATTTAAAACTTTTATATACTGCCTCTCCCTTACACAAGGCATGAGATGGTATACAATTACATTTTACATTTACATTTACATTTGCGATTTATATACCGCCCTATCCATGTGGCTCAGAGCGGTTTACAGACAAATACACAATTTATCTAAGCTAGGATATAATGGTGAGGGGAGGGTATTTTTCTTAACTGGGCACCTAACAGCAGGATCTTTTCCTTTGGGTTCGACGGTGGACTTCGACGGTAGCTTTCTCTGCAGTAACGGCTTCTTTCCAGCAGATGGCCCCCACAGAACATGAACGAGGCAGCTGGACTCCTTGTCCAATCGGCTCCAGTCCTCGCCGCAACATCATGCTCTTCCAGGCACCGGTCTCCGTCGCTCGCCGCTGCTTTCTAACACCGATCACGGAGGAAAGGTGCTCCCCGCTCGTAAGGAGCAGGTACCCATTTACCTACTTGCCCGTACAGGCTTTCAGACCACTGGGTGGGCGGGAGCTGGGACAAAGGGCCAGGAGCTCACCCCGGCCACGGTGGGACTCGAACTGCCATCGGCAGTACGGCTAGATTAACCTGCAGGCGTTTTTTTTTTAACGCCATGCGCCACCGCATCAAGATCAAGTATTAAAAATAAATGTACCTCATTGGAAATAAGGACCATTATATTTTATAGACAATGTCTTAAAAACTATAATGAAAAGGATGTTGGGGAGAAATATTTTTTTTGTTTTATATACTCTGTTATATATAATTATCCTTGATATATGCAATTATGTTATATAGCTCTTCTTTTCCTTTCTGTATCCACTCTATACTATTATTATTAGATCCCATCTAATAGGATCTCATACAAGATGCTCTTGTAGCTTTGTTGTGGGCACGCCACCACTGTCTCTCTAGCCGTCTTAACCTTCACTTCATTAGCCGCAGCTCCTGCGTAAACCAAGGGGCGAGCCTGGAGCGAGGGCACAGAGGGCCGGCCCGGTGAATGGGGTTTGTTACGTATTGGGAGAGTCCTAGCACCGCCATGGACGACACCAGGTCCATTGACTGAGTAGAGGCCGCATTGTCGGCATGGACGATAAAATCACCCAGGACTATCAGTCTAGGGTGTTCCAATGCCCAGCCTGATACAGCCTCCATCAGGGATGGCAGGCTATTGGCCGGTGCATTGGGCAGTCAGGTACACCAACCAAATCACCAACTTCTCCCCATCTTCCCCCAGGCCAGCACACTCAATGCCCGTGATCCTCAGCGGCAGGAGCACCCTGAAGGAGTAAGCCTCCCAGATGAATACGGCCACTCCTCCCCCCCCCCACCCCCTAGTCTGTGATTGGTGAAGGACCAAGAACCCAGAAGAAGCCAGCTGGGAGACAGCTACTGTCTCCCCATCTCACACCTAGGTCTCAGTCATGCACACCAGGTCTACATTCTACTCAAGCAGAAAGTCCCAAAGGACCATGGTCTTGTTATTTATAGACCTGGCATTACACAACGCCAATGTCTGAGGGGGGTAATTTATCCTAGCCCCACTACCTAAAACCTTTAGGATGGGACACAGGCTGGAAGGGGGCTGAGCTGTTCTACTTCTCTGTCCCCTTCACTTGTCTCCATGCCTGGTCCCACTGCTATACTTCCCCCTCCCCTAGGGTTGCCAAACCCCCCGGTTTGCCAGGGGTCCCCCGTTTTGGGGGGGTCTACCCACTGCTGGCCAGATGGCTGGCGGGGGAAGCCCGACCCCCAACACCCACAGCCACCCATCTCTCTCCTTTTAAGCGTGTGGAACCCGTGTTTCCTCCGAAGCCTGATTGCCGCAAGCTTGCAGGGAAATGCCAGCTTCAGTGCTCTTAAAAGGGAAATGCGGCTGCTCTTAAAGGGGAAACACCGGCTCCTGCATTTAAAAGGGAAACGCTGGCTCCTTTAAGTGCAGGGAACTGCCGTTTCTGGAGATCCAGCACACGGGCGGGTGGGGGGCCGCAGACGTCCCTAACATGACGTCATCACGTGGGGATGCCCCGCCCCCTCCAGGAACGCCCCCAAAGTCCCCCGCTTGGGGTGGAAGATGGACTTGGCAACCCTCCCCTCCCCAGGAGCACTGGAATCTCCTACCCAGTCATCGCCACACTTGGAGGTCTTTGCTAGCCTCAGACCAGCTAGAGCCTCAGACCAACCAGCTATAATTGGCTCATGTTAGTAGTACCCTATGTACAGCAACTATTAGCTACCAAAAAATTCCTAATTTTAATATTGCCCTCCTCCTTTACAGCCCATACAATTTAGCCTAATAACCTATACTTGTCTTTTTTTCCCTTTTTTCTCCCCCTTCAATTTAGCCTGTAATTTAAATAAAGGCTAATAGATTTCAGTGGCAAATTTAACTTCAAGCTATTCAGTGCAAATCTCTTGTTAATTGATCTGTTAATTTATAAACCAAATCAATTAATTAATTAATTTACATATGCAGGACAGCTAATACAATATAGTCTATTTAATTCATTAATTTAGACCCACAATTAATTGGAAAAATAAACTATCAATTAATAATATCAGCAACCCAATTAATTAAGTCTAAAAAGTGCACTTCAAATTAGATGTTGCTGCATTTCAAACTAGATGAAATTTCCAAATGGAGACAGCATTATCTCTCTATATAATAATGCTGTTTTAAAGTGGCAACATTCCATGCGCTCCCATTGGCTGTGCAATGCCCTCCCTCAGCCATTGGCCCATCAAACACCACTCAAGAGTACTCGCGTGCCATTGGCCAGGTGCTGGGTTTGCTTCTCTTCCCCGCCTACTCCCCCTTCAGCCATTCTGCCCTGTCAGAATTACTGGCAAATGGCTTTCTGTCTTGACTAAGACACTTCTCCTGCTTGCCTCCTGTGTTGGAATAACTTTTCCCTCATTGGCTGTTGGTAGATGTAACGAAATGGCAGTTACCTGTGTTTGTAAGATGGCTGCTGTCTGTGGTTGTTTGTTTAAAATGTTCCACCATAAGGTCTAATAGTTCCAGAGAGGGGCCTGTAGGGGTATCACTCACTGGGTTCAATGGGGCTTCCTCATCTGCTGGACTACAGTTCCCAGCTGCCCCAAAGCAGAAAAGGGCGGGAAAACATGGACTGTCCCAATACTCGGGGCGGCATCAATATAGACTGAAGCCCATCCAGGGAGGAGGCAGTCTTCGTCCTACAGGAGATTAGGAAAGACTCCTGCTGCCTGTGCTGACCAGGCTGTCCAGGCCACAAGCCAGAGATGTGGGGGAACCCTGGGAGCCAGCAGAAATTCAGCCACTCCACAGTCAGCTGGACTGGGGAATGAATGGAAGTTTCCCCGCTCTCTTGGGCCAGAGAGACAGAGGCTAGAGCAGAGAGCCAGAAACCGGTGTGCAGGGAAAGAAGATGGCGTTTAACCCCTGTTGATTTATGTCCTGTTGGTTCATAGTGTGTTTTTACTCCTACAGCTGTGTCTTATTCATTTAATGTGTCTGTGTGCTACGTAACTGTGTAAATTCTTTTGGGCTAATAATCTGTGTTGTGCTCTGACCACATAGTCTTCCCCGCTCTGCACAATAACAAAGGGAGGGAGTAGCCCAAGGAGGCAAGGAAAGGCCAGACCCTTGGGTTGTCAACTTTCCAGGGATCCCCCAAAGATTGGGGATTCCATCTCCAAATAGGAGATTCACCCAGAGGGTCTCAGTGTCCCTCTAAAAATGCAGTGACAATTCAGTGAGTGGCAGCAGAGAACTTAAGGAGTGAGATACGCCCATGGGACAAGGGTGGGAGGTGAACAGCTGAGTTGTAAACTGGAGCCTGTTTCGCCACAGTGGGCAACCAAGCTTGGTTAAGACAAAGGAAGGAAACCCTTCACAGGCCTTTGTGAGGAACTCATTAGGGCCAGTCCTGACTAGGGTTGCCAGCTCCAGGGAGGGAGATTCCTGGATATTTTCTTCTCTGCACAGTTTGGATGCTGTGTGTCTGATGGCTGGGGAGCAGCACAGGAGAGAAGGAAGGAGCAATGCATGGAGAATCTTCTGTGTTCCCAGTTGGCCAACAAAAAAGATGGTCATATGCAACAGGTAAGTGGAAGAGGGCTTGATACACGGCTGGTGCCAGAAAACAATTCAGGGACTGTAAAGTTCCCCTTGCTGTGAAGGCAATCATTACAAGCTGCTGCAGCTTATACTCTAAACTAAACTAGTATGAATTCTGAGCGCACCAACAAAAAAAAAACTAAATACGAAGAAGGGTGTTCTAGAGAACGTTTAAGTAATATGTGTTTTGTACATTCTTAACCATACAATCAACAGCATTCTATCTATAATATGCTCAGCATACCGAGAATTAAGAACCTCATAACATAACTAAGACCGACACATTTAATAAAGAACTGCTCACTTACTGCAACCCACAAACTAAAAAAGGTTAATGAAATGTAATCCGTGTTGCAACCTAAACCACTATTTAGTTCTAAAAAAACCTTCAAGAGCTTAGGAAATGAACCTTTGTCAATTTCCGCTCCATAATTTTTGTATAATAAATAATACCTACCTTGCATACAGTATCTGCATCCCAAGGTAGAATAGTCTTCAGATCAATTACTTCACAGGATACACCAAGTTTTTCTTGAGCCATACCTGCTACCTCTTTGATAACATGAACCTAAATATTTGGTCAAAGCATGCAGCATTATGTCAGAGGAATGGAAAATTAACTCTCTCATTTTTTTATCATTCCCTTCCTCTAAAGAACCCAAAGCAGCATATGTTTTCTTCCTATTCCCTTTTTATCCTCACAACCACACTGTGAGGTAAGTTAAGCTGAAGCTCACAGGATGACTGACCAAAAGAATTTCATAGTTGAGTGAGGATTTCAATCCAGGTTTCCTTTTCCTATTCCAGCCACATTACTACACTGTTGGCAGAACAGAAAGGGGGGAGGAGATTTTACCCAGTATCCCGCTTCGTGTTTCTACTTCCAACAACTGGAAGCATCTTGTTTATGTTTAGTTTGTTTATGATTCCCCCTAGCACTCAGGAGAGAAGAAGGTCCGCCTACATGAGCTCCTTCTAGTCACACAACTTTTCGAGCATACACTGTGTATTATGATGCTTCCAGACTACAACACTGATTTAAATTCCAACTTTCATTTCCTAGAGAACTTTATAAGAAAGCTTATAACAATTTTTTTTAAGTGAGCCTCCTTGGCCTATATTGTTCTCCCCTGTGAAATACATATTGTTCAACTATGGGTAATTTCAGACAGACGATATATTCTGGAAGAGGAACGGTTCCCAAACGGTTTCTGGTCTGTCATTTCAGACAGAACCCGTTTGAGAACCGGTTCCCTTCCGGAATATATTTGCCATTTCATACACAAACGCTTCTGTCCCATTTAGGAAACGGGACTGAAGCGTTTTACCTGTCAACCGCTTCCAAGTAGTCTTCAGTTCCCTCTCCCAGTTCCGATGCACTTTTTCCCACCGTTTTTTGCCTGCGCGGGCGATCTCCGGCTTTCCCCCCAGAACGGTCGCTTTATAGTGTTATAGCACTATAACGCTATAATGGAATAGCATTATATCAACTCCATTGGAATGCCTGGAGTGTTTTGTTATAGTGCTATAGCGCTATAAAGCAAACGTTCAAAAAAAAAAAAGCCGGAGATCGCCCGCACAGGCGAAAAATGGCAGGGAAAAAGCGGTGCAATCTGAAATGGCAAACCAGTTCTGATCCGGCTCATTTCCGGTATGGGAAAGCCCTGTGTGAAATGGCAGCCCTGTACCGGTTCACTTCAAAACGAATCATTACCGGCTTGAAACCGGGTGAAACTGGGTAAAGTGAAATTCCCCTATAATTTGAATCAGGCACAATCAGCCAATCTTTAAATCACATTCAAAATCCATATTCTATATATCTGCACCAGTGCAGGCAACTGGGATATACAACTTCTGCATATGATAGTGACTTTCCCAGTTTGTGTTTTTTTATTTATATATACTGAAAGGTTTCTGCTGTGTTGTTAACTGGGATATAAGACATTTCAATCATGCCATAAAATTATTTTCAGGCCTATGTTTGCATTTCATTTTTTGCAACCGTACAGCATGCAACCGTATGAATACCTCAAGAAAGTCATACCAACCTGAGTGCCCCAAGCCACCAGAGTAACATCACTTCCGTTCTGCAGCACTTCTGCTTGAGAAAGTGGAATGTAGTATGGCTCCACAGGGACTTGTTCCACTAAATGAATTTGAATAGAGGTTTATGTACTCTCGATCTAAAATATTTACTCCCAAGAACAAAAACATACTCAAAATCATGGAGCCATGATATACCTACAATTTAATAAGGATAAGGTAACCCTACACCTCTTGTCTCAGGCCTCATCAATCTAACAGCCCCCTTATTAATGACTGGTTGGTCAGACTGTAGTTTGTATTGCTTATTCTTTTTTTTTCTTTTTTTAAGACCCCCGAAGGGATTTTTTTTTTTTTATAATACTACATAAACTACAGAGAAAAGAAGGAACGGGGAGCTAAAACTAAGGAGAAAGAAAAGTAACCCACACTAAACTAAAAACCCAAGAGTAAGAGATCATTACCCTGTTAGACTGCAGTTAGTAATGAAGAAAAAAACTGTTAATAAACAATATACTTCGTGAGATCTTTTCTTTCTAAGCTTATGCGTTAGTTTATTACTTGTTATGAGATGATTTCCAGAGCATCTCCTCCAGCTCTCTTCGTAAGGGCAATTTTCAGAGTCCTTTCGCCTTTACATCTATGCTAATTCTCTCTAAAGTCTTGATGGCTTCTTAGATGTTCACTCGAAATTCTGCAACCCTCCTCCATCTCCAAAGGGATAACACTGCCAATCTTAAGCCTCTTCCTTCTTGGTCTCATCCTCGGGGCCTAGTGGCATCTCACAGGCTTCTTGATCTTGACGTCAGGTTCAAGCTCTTTTCTATCAGCCAAATTTAAGACAACACTTTCTAAAAACATCTGCCGGGAAGGAGTTAAGTCCTTGTAAATCTTTTCTGTTTCTCTCACGCTTTCTCCCCTTATCTCTTTGAGATTGCTGTTAGTTTTAGTGTCCATCTCTTTTGCTTTGACAGCCCTCTGTTCCATCTTTTCTGCTATTGTTGCCAACTGCAGCTGCCGGGACATGAGTTGTTGATTTATCTTGGCAAGCTGATGGTTAATACCAACAAGTTGCTCAAGAATCGGCTTGGTGGCTTCTGCTATGAGTTCTATAACTTTCACTTCCCTTCTTCTCGGAGTTGTTTTCGCTGACTTTTTGGAGTGTCCACCATTTTTACACTTTAATTCCAATATAAAATTGTTTTCTCCCCGGCTCTGAAAATCGCTTACATGCTGTTTACTCGCTTAAATACTCATGGATATCTCCCACAGCTTTTTGCTTCCAAGTATCCGTTTACAATTGTCTCTTTCTCTCTCTCCCTCCTCTGCTTATCTAAATGCGGCAGAGAGGTCTCCCTCTCTCAGCACGATTCCAGTCACTCAAGAGTTTTTTGGGGTGGGATTTTCGCTTCAAAGTGTCTGTTTACAATTCTCTCTTTCTCTCTCTCTCTCCTCCCTCCTCTGCCTATGCAAATACGTCCGAGAGGCGTTCCTCTCAGGAGGATTCCAATCGCTCAAAAGGTTTTGGAGGGGGGGGATTTATGCTTCTGTTTACAGTTCGTTCATTTTAACTCACAATTCATTGTCTCTTAACCACGCTCGTAATCACTCCTTCGCCAGATCTCCTGCGCTTGACTGGGTCAGCACATCTTGTGCCTCACTAAGAGGACGCAGACAGCAGGGAGGACCGTCAGGGCGGAGGGCAGCCTCAATTTCCCTGCAAATAGCAGGAAAGGAGGCTCACCCTCAAAAGCCCTATGGCCTGGGGGGCCTCCCTGACCCCCCATGGAGGCACCGATCCAGCGGCACCCCTCCCCTCCGCTGCTGTGCGGAGCGCCTTCCCCGAGCCTCAGGAAAGGCGTCCGCCATCGTTGCGTCGAGTTTGGGGAGGGGACAGGCCTCATCTGAATAGAATGCCATAGACTCCACCCTCCAAACCAGCCATTTCCTCCTGCGGAACAATTGCTGCCATTCTCCAGATGAGGACTGGAGATCACTCAGAATTAAAACTGCTCTCCAGATGGCAGAGATCAGCTCCCCTGGAGAGTGGCTGCTTTACAGAGTGGACTCTGTGTCATTATACCCTGCTGAGGTCGCTTCCCTCCTGCTTGGGTCCCTACTGTGGATAACTTTATTTATTTATTTGAACTTTTACCCCCCCCTCCCAGCCAAGGCCGGCTCAAGGCTGCTTACAGATAATTACATTAAAAACATAATTTACGATTAAAACAATTCTAAAAACATAATAAAGTGCTAGTGATCGTTGTTATCGTTGTTATCCATAAACAGTAGCAGCCATCATTCACAGTTCTCAGCTCGGCATCAGCTCACAGTATTCATTTTAGTTGTTCCAGCAGTACTTGTTGTTAGTTAGGCTGTGGGTGGCAGTTTCCGGACTCCAGGGCCCTCTCTGATGATCTTCACTGGTGGTGGTGGTGGCTCCCAAAAGCCAGGTGGAGGAGCTTCGTTTCACAGGCCCTGCGGACCTATAAAAGGTCCCACAGGGCCCTGATCTCCTCCAGGAGCTCATTCCACCAGGTTGGGGCCTCCACCAAGAAAGCCCTGGTTCTGGTCGCCAACAGCCTAGCCTCCTTAAGACCCGGGAGGGCCAGCTGGTTTTGAGCCCCTGACCGCAGCGCTCTCTGGGGGACATATGGGGCAAGGCAGTCCCTCAGATATGTAGGTCCCTGACCGTGTAGGGCTTTAAAGGCATCAGGGAGGCTGGGCCAGCAGCAGGGCTAAGGCAATCCTGCTGGGCAAACCTCCCCAGCGGCTGTAAGCATCCCACCTCCTCTCCGACACCTGACAGGCAGCTGCCTGTCCAGTGTAGGAGGGGGAGGGGGAGGAGTATTAGAAGCCACTATGGAGGCGGGGCCGGCAGGATCAGTAAGGGGTCACTGTTGGGGCAGGCTCCCTCAGGGCTTTAAGCACCCTGAAACCACTGCTGCACCTGACAGACAACCGCACATTTTACCCCTTTTGACCCACTTAGGGGTTGAATTTCTAAAAATCCCTTCTTAATGAGCACCTACGCCATGGTAGGAGCGCTCTCCCCGAGTTTGGTGTCTCTAGGTCCAGCGGTTTGGCCTGGGCGTTGATTTTACGGTGAGGGGACTTTCTTTTAAATATAGAGATGACTATTTTGTCACAACTGATTTGTTACTATGTTTATGGATGGTAAAACAGTTTAAGGGTTTGATGTTATTACACTGAACTATATTCAGGTGGGAGCTGCGGTGGCTCAAGTGGTTAAGACGTTGAACTGCAGGCTGTGGAAGGTCAGTAGTTCAGCAGTTCAAGACCCGGGTGTCGCAAGACGGGGTGTGCTCCTGTCTCTAGTTCCAGCTCCTGCCAACCTAGCAGTTCGAAAGCAAGAAATTGCAAGTACCCTGTTTTCCCGAAAATAAGACCTACCCCAAAAATAAGCCCTAGCAGGATTTCTATGCATTTGTGGTATAAGCCATAGTGTGTCTTCTTGAGAAAAAATAAAAACATTGTCTTATTTTCAGGGAAACACGGTAGATAAATAGGTACCACTTCGGTGCCTTGGTGCTTAGTCATGCCGGCCACATGACCACGGAAACGTCTTCGGACAGCGCTGGCTCTTCGGCTTTGAAACGGAGATGAGCACCGCAACCCTAGAGTCGGATTCAACTGGCTTTCGAGCAAGGGAACCTTTACCTTTACCTATATTCAGATTTGCTGCTAGTCCTATTGTGACTGTCTTGACTTTCAAATAATATACTTTTTACTATTTTTTCTATTTTCTATTTTTTTTCTATTTTCTATTTTCAATTTCTATTTTCTCTTACCTTCCTCAACAGCAAAAACTAAGATTCATGCCGGTTTCCAATTTGCCCTATTTGGGCAAATTAATTGAGAGGGTGGTGGCGATACAGTTGCAGAGCTTTATGGATGACACTTCTATGCTAGATCCCTTCCAGTTCAGCTTCCACCCAGGTCATGGGACAGAGACAGCATCAGTCACCCTCACTGATGACCTCCGGAGGCACCTGGATCGGGGCGGGGTGGTGGTGCTGTTGTTGTTGGACCTGTTGGTGGCGTTTGACACAGTCAACCACCAGCTACTGGCCCACCGCCTCACCGACATGGGGATTCAGGGGCTTGCCTTGCAATGGCTCGTCTCCTTTCTCCAAGGTCGGGGACAAAGGGTTGGGAGCAGCTGTCCCGAAGGCACCTGCTAATCTGTGGAGTGCCTCAGGGGGCGGTGCTTTCCCCGATGCTATTTAACATCTATATGCACCCCCTTGCCCAGATTGGCTGGAGGCATGGGCTAGGGCAGTAGTGGCGAACCTATGGCACACGTGCCAGAGGCGGCACTCAGAGCACTCTCAGTGGGCACATGTGCCATCACCCCAGCCAGGCCCAGACCATCATTAAAGTGTCAAATTCTCTGCCAAATAATTTTAAGTAAATGAAAGCATTTGGGATTGTTTTCCTTACTTTGTTTGGATCATCTTATGTTAATGTACTAGCAGTAAAGCCCGTTGTGGAAATAAATACAACGAGATCTAGAAAGAGGCTCTGGGGGAGTGGTCTGGCTTTGGGCAAACAGTGTCATTTTGCTGTGGTTACCTCAGCAGGGTATAATGACAGAGTTCACTGTTTTCTCCAGAGGAACTGATCTCTGCTCCCTGAAGAGCAGTTGTAATTTTGAGTGATCTGTA